TCTCAACTTCCTTGACTTTAAATGTAATTCACAATCCTTTTCTCCTTCTTTCTCTTACGAAGATGCAACTCATTGGTCATTAAAGACATACCAATTCTTCTACCTTCATCTTCTCTATATCTTTACTCTCCTCGATGGCAGTTAACTTGGAATGGTATCTAACAAGTAGTGATAAAAGAATCACTTTCACTATTTTACTTTCTAAATTCTTATTTTTAAAGATTTAGGCCGAGTTGGTAATGTCACTTAGCATGGCGTAGAAATCTTTGAAGTGTTCATCATCACTCATTGTTAGTTGGTCAAATTGAAGTGTTAGCATTTGAAGTTTAGAAGACTTCACAATGAAGTTTCCTTCATGAGCAACTTGCAATATATTCCATGCCTCCTTGGCCACCTTGAATGTAGAAATCAAGGGAAATTTATTAGAGTCTACAAATGATAAAATAACATTTAAAGCTTTTGAATTCTAGCTAGCACTATTAAAATCAGTAGTCGCCCACTTATCTGCCCTTTTCTCTCTTTCTACATCTTTTTGGTCTTGGCAGGAGTTTTATAGCCATACACAATTGAATATCATGCATTCTCATACAAGGACTAGATAGAAGCCTGCATCCTAATTTTCCAATAGGAGTAATTAATCCTGTCTGGAATAGGAGGTCTAAAAAGGTGCATCAATTACGAGATATTTCGTAGATCCTACTTTTTAAAAGTAAACCTGTTCTGATACGAATGTAAATACTTCCTAGTTGATTAAAAATTCTATCTTAATTACCAAGTTCAAAGAGAACACATCGAGCAATTAGAATATCATACAAGCAATTATTAAGACAATTCTGACTACAGCGTGTAGACAAATTATAGTGTTCTTATGATTTACTCAAACAAAACACATCAAGCAATCAGAATATCATACAAGCAATTCTTAATGTGGTATACATCTAAGGGAAACATCCACAGGCCACATGTCACAGTTAAATCAATCCACGAAATCAAACGATCAAAAATACAATAATTTCGATTTTGTTATTTTGCAAAATTAACCAAAAAAAAAAAAAATCTAAGAGCAACTCACTGGTTTTCTTCTTCTTTTGACTTGTTATAAAAGTAGATTCAAACCCTTCAATCTTGACTTTATCACTACTTCACTATTGTATCTGGTCATAGCCATCACTTGGATTAATAATCACAATTCTTAACTTAAGACAAGAAGCTTGATCTTTGAATTTGGCTGAACATCCATGCTCTAGTGTGTTTTCTTCAAGTATGGTTGAAGAATACGGCTTTCCTGGGGATAGCAATGGAATAGGACCGATAGGGATGGGGGCAACCTCCTCCTCTTCCCACTCCATTGGGTAGTTTCCCCCTTTCCCCGTTCAAGGTGGGGGTGAGACGAGACCCTTGCCCCATTTACTACCCTTTCAATTTTTTTGTTTTTATATATTTGATAATTTTATTTATTGTCCCTATTCATTAAAGTGAAGCAATAATATATTTATTATTTTTTTAATTTTAAAAATTAAATTATTCAAATATATTTTGTAAACTAAGGTATTTATTTGTCATATTCTTTAGATAATCTTAATCGTTGTCTTCTAATAGAACTAGTGAAATTTTATAGAGTTTTTCCATTTAAAGTATTGAATTCTTCAAAAAAAAATTAAAAAATATATTAAACGGGACGAACTAAGCCCTTGTTACTCGTACCCGCCTTAAGGCGTGGGACGCAAAGTCTCCTCTCCGTTCCCGACCTGCGCCCCCCAACCCAATTACTAGATTAAGCAAGTAATCCCCGTCCTATTCGTAGTAGGGCCCGCGGTTATTGATTGGACGAATTTTTTTGTCATCCTTAGTTTTGCTATAAGATTATTTAATAATGCATAGCACTGGGTGAACTCGTTGGAATATAGCAAAACTCGTTGCTGCATGTTCACTAGCTGCAC